CGTTCCAGTTCTACATGAAAAATCACAACAATAGTGAGGACGATTTTATGCGTGATAAGTGCAAGGTTATTACACAAGTACTAATTTCGATACAAGAGAAAGCGGACTAAAAAAATCCTAAAGTGATAAACAGATAAATACACTAAGTATATACATATATGTGTACATATATACCTATACACATGCATATATATATGTATATATACATATATGTACATATATATGTACATACACATGCATATACTACCCTTGTATATATATATATATATAGTATATATATATATATATATATATATATATATAGTGAAATTAGAAATACGTTGTTGAGCGACTCAAGAAAGTTGTCTTCACTCTTCAACTCACCTGTATTGTTTTTCTGTCTTCGCTAACCTTTAGCCTTGGCCTTATTCCTTTTTCAACTCTTATGTTCAAAACGTCATCTTTGGATGATGACCACATTATCTGAAATTGTACAATACTAGATGGCTTGTTCACCGAAGCACCTTCATAAATGACATCTCTAAAGTTCTTAAGGCAGATCCTTCATGATTATGCAGAGAAGTAACAACTCATGAAAGAACATCACCATTTCTATGAGTTATCTTAAAAGCATCTTACAGCACATATTATGTGAATCACTCATTTGAAATTCTTAGATTTTGATCAACAATGCAAATTCGGATTTAAAACGCGACTCAAAACTGCGCATTGATTTTTGGGTTGCTTGATATGAAAGTAATTTCATTGACTGATGAAAGTGATTTTCTATTGACTAATCATTGAAAAAACAAATTCTATGAACAAGAAAGCTTTATGCATGTAAAACTGATAAAAAGCTCTGTGATGCATTAATATTGAACAGAGTTAATCCAAGAAAATATTTACTCAGTAACGTTTGAACCATAATGAATCAACTCATCAAAGGTCACCATTATAACCTTTTTTCTTATCAAAATGCATATATTAGGTTATTCAAAAGTTTTGGTAGCAGAGTTTTAAACATCAAGGTCACTAAACAAAGTAATTATGATTGCATTTTTTCGGTATCGTTCAATTGCGCATTTTTTTTGCAAACATGTTGGTATACAACTCCTTTAGTTGCTCTAATATGGAGCTGTCTTGGGATGAAATTTGTTTGTACTCATGCACGAATGACGCGTAGGACAAAATGATAGTGGAAGCGGCGCGCAAGATTAATGGATTTCCTATAGACGGCCCGAGTGCGACTGATCCTCCAGATCCTGTTTTCTCCATCTTTGAACTTCGTGAGCCATTTCCTAGCCGTCATTTTTTGCAATGTTTCATCGCCCCCAGCTCCATCAATCTCGCGTGCCGCTTGAATAGCATTTTCCTCTACGTGCCATTCGTGATTGATTAGCTAATAACTTGTTCCCAAGACAGCTCCATCTCAATGCAAGTATAGGCATGTTGTATATCAAAATGTTCTGAAAAAAATGTACAATCTAACATTACTAAAATCACGCTATTTTAAGAATTCCTGGTTGATAAATTTGGTGTTTATTGAAATAGCACCGAAACTTATGGAACGACCTGATAAATAATCTGATAATTGGCTCCGTCTAAATGTTTCGAAGAGGCGGATTATTCTGGCTTATACTTCAGTTTCTAGATGATCACAATCTAAAGTGATGATTATTCACTGGATCGCTATGTAAAAAACAAATATCAGAAGAAAAGAAGGAGAGACAAAAATTGACTAGGTCTCCCAACCATCATAGCATTCTTATTGTTTTTACCTTCACTGAGAACAGTCAAGCTCTATAAGTGGATGTGAGCCGTATCTCATTGATCTCTTCAAAATGTAATAGCATTCTGTTACATAGCTTAGCTTGAATTATCAATAATATGACTTGATAGCGAATTTCCGTGGTGGAATTGGAGCAAGATTTAGGATAGAACTACGAAAAACCATAGAATCGCAGAAAAATCCTTCAGCGTAACTGAAGGCGTCCAAGTAAGAGTTCGTTGAGAAGGGACAGACTGTTATTCACATAAGCCTTCTAGAATTACTTATTCACCCTATGAAAGACAACTGACAATGAAGCAATGCGTGATGCCCTCAGATGCCACAGCTTATCAGTTTAAGACTTGACCCGCAGTATTATGTGGACTCTTTGACAGCTCAGAGTTGTATCTACCAAGGGTTCCTATAATAATAAGCATGGTTAGACTGATTAATATCAACAATCCAGTGTTCTTTCTAACATATAGAAATTTTCGGTATTTTATCAAATGGCAGCTGTTTTCCCACAGTCACTGAAACTCCAAGAGCCAGTAGGAGCCGAAAGAAGTGCCAAGGTGTAGTTCCGACGTTTGCAACAACAAAATTAATTAAAGCGGGTAGATTTCTCTTACTGCATGTCTACTGAAAACACGTTTATTGTCATCATACCACCACGGACGATATTTAGCAAGTCAGGAACGTAAGAAAAAGTCAAACTTCATATACATTCATCATATACATATAAATTTAATATATATGCATACGCACGATAGCATATGTATGGATATGTGCATATATATATATATATATATATATATATATATATATATATATATATATAGAGAGAGAGAGAGAGAGAGAGAGAGAGGGGGCGCCGTGACGGCCTATGGAACGCCACAGCCAGGCTGTCCTCAAGACTGCAAGGAAACGTATCAAGCAGTGTTCTATGATGTTCAAGAAGAAGACGAAAAACCAAATTGAAGCCTGGAAGTTTTGTGAAACGCACAGTGAAAAAAGGAACACTGTGAAGACGGACCAACAAAGTGTCAGTGCCCAAACATATATATATATATTATATATATATATTATATATATATATATATATATATATATCCGCATACAAATATGTGTATATGCACGCACTTGTTTACGTTTATATATATGTACATATAAATGTATATATATGTCGTAATTTATCGTAAAAATCGGGTAAAGATATATCTTCATACACATATGCATATATATATATATACTATATATATATTATATATATATATATATATATAAGTGATGCGCACAATGGCATTGTGCCAGTCGTATAACGGTTGCTGGGTTACAATAACTCAATAACTTATGATAATCAGATCCATTAGCAGTACTATTTAATTGAATCACCTTCCCTCTATATAATAACTATCTGTTATCTATGACAAATAATCGAACTCGATTTTTACGACAAATTATGAACGCAGATCGAAGCCGAAGTCGTGAAATCGCCACAATTAGAAAAATGGGCATTAGTGGCAAAAGTGAAAGTACCATGAAGTACAATCAACGACCACTGAGTACAGACGGGGCAAAACCAAATGTTTCTCTAGTAAGGATGCATTCATTGAAGCAACTATTTTACGTTATTCATAGAAATAAGGAGTTGTAAATTTCCTGTGCTATGCTAGACTCACATAGGATAAGATCGCTTCTGATGGACCACCGCGAAGGTTTAATGGCCTCCAAAGTTGGACTGGCCCCGGTGCGAAATTCAGGTATTAGTTTAGAGTTACTTGGTACTTCACCAAGATTGAACAGATTACTTTATTTCTCTTTCGAAATCATCGCATCTATATAGGGGTGACATATAATTTCATAGTGGCCCACTGTTGAATTTTGGATCTCTAATGAGATTTTTGAGTTTCAGTGAATAATCATGTTCTGGACACTTTCGCCGTCAACGAGGATTCTCCTAGAAGAGATTATTCACAACGTTCTCTCATATCTTGTTTCCAGAGACTATAAACATTTTGTTAATCTATTGAAAAATATGCGTGATAGTTATTTTTGAGCCATGCATGTGGCCTGTCTTGAGCACTTATACAGTAGAAGACTGCGCCTCCTCCATGTAAGGGGTTGGGTTCTCCTAGGAGGATTGGCTAAGACGAAAAGAATTGTGCAATTGACGAGGCCGTTGAGGCCGAAACACCCGTGTATCGCACTGTATAAGTACCCATAATAGACCACATGCATGGCTCAAAAATAATTATCAGGCATATTGAAACTCGAGAGTGGTCTTAGAAAAATTCGTGAAACGAACGAATTGATATTGAAAAATAAATATAGAACTAAATCTATCCTTTAATGATGCTGAAAACAGTCTCAAGGATAAGCACGGTAATGATTTATGATTATAGAACAGTGGCACAATTCCAAACACTTTCAACAGCTTCTCTAAAAGATATTGAGAAAAAGCAAAACTACTATAGTCGATATATAGAGCAATACTCACCAAGCGCTATCTCTATGTGCTTTTTTCAAACTTACGTCCAAAAATGTGCTGATCTTTTGCCAAAAACTATGCCAACATCTAAAGAAGAAACCTTTGGGCCAAACTGTACCTATTTTATTCATTTAGTAACAGTTATCTTGCCGAGGCTTGTGTGAAAGAGCTATAAATAGCGCAAGTAGATGAGTATGGATTCTAAGCATAGCAGGGCAAAAAGTATAAAACTCTGAAACAGAATCTTTTGATATCATGGTTACATATGATGTTCACCAAGTTTGAAAAAGAGCCACTTAGGTGTACACCTTGCCGATTCGATGACCAACCCAGCTATATACATGACTGAACACTATATGAAAGGTGCAGCAAGTCGATAAACATAGAAGAAAGCGTGACTTTCCCACTGCAACCAATTAGCAGCTACAAGCTTTCGTAGAGAGTGAACGCGTATTTCATGCTTCAGTGACTCAATGCTCATGTAAGAGGATATCAATAAAAATAATCAATCAGAATTCTTTCTGATTTAACTGCTTCTAGAGGTGGTATGATGTTATAGTACACCCAATGATATGGAATGATGCGCAAAACGCTTGTGTCTGGCGGGATTTGCACTCGCATTTCACCCAATCAGGGGCGCGTGCTTTATCCCTTGCACCACCGACGCCTGTTTTGATACCACTCTTTCTACGCTACAACGCATCTATCAAAAACAACAAATGCTGATAAGTATTTCTAAGAGAACTAAGTGGTGAGCAAAGACATGGCCTCAGGCGAGAATCGAACTCGCGTTTCATTCTATCCGAGGACGCGTGCTTCACCACTACAGCACCGAGGCACATTTGCCCAACCACTCATTCTTCAACATCTCTATGCTAGCTGTCAGCCACCAACCCTAAACAGGTTTAGTCGGGTAAGCGATTTCGCTATATAGAAAATTAGATTAACAATAGAAATTTTGATTATTACTCATCACAATGGCTATCCGGTCAACTGGGTTTATAAAGCGAAATCGCATACCCAACCAAACCTGTTAAAGGTTAGTGGTTGACAGCTAACATAGAGATGTTGAAGAATGAGTGGTCGGGCTAATTGCTTCGGTGGTGTAGTGGTAGAGCACGCATCCCCGGTCAGGATGAAAGGCGGGTGGATTCCCGCCTGAGAGCCATGATTTTGCTCACTACTCAATCATCTTAGGAAACATATGTGACATCATAACACTGCTAAAAGGCAGTAAAACAATAGAAATTTCGATTATTGCTGAGGATATCTTTTCATCTGATACTTCAGTAGGAATGAGTTGTTGTTTGACTTGCCCTACGAATACGAAGGATCAAATTATTGAGTACTGTACTTAACATGTGTAACGAACAGTGTGCCAAAGGTAATATCAATAAAAGAAGTAAAAGATTTTGAAGAATATAGCCATAAAACCTAGAAATCTTCCAGTTACAAGCGCTATTTTAACGATTTATCAACCACAACGTAAAGTGTATAATTTCATCTACAAGGGATCGATTCAAGAAGGGAAAAAAGTGTTTATAGTAACCGGAGTGTATCTACCAACGAAAATAGGCTGTTACTGCACAGTTTACTCAACATAGAACATTGTTTTTGCACGAAAAAGATAAAGTTGAAAGAAAAAAACGGAAAATATCATAATGCCATAGAAATTCCAGATCACTACCCAAATTACTGCACACTGTTCAAACTGTACCAGTGCCAATTAGCCCCAACAATAGAAAAAATATTACATCGAAATGGAGGCGTAATGGTCATATTGGAGTACGGTCATACTAAAGTCACGAATTATAGGTCTACTGCAATGGCTGACATAAGCAAGAAAACCTTTCTATCACCACAAAAAATTCCAAAAACTCAACAAAGGACGCAGGTTTTCATTGTTCATGCCAATTTCGACATTGATGAACGTTATTATTTCCACGTTTTGTTATAGAAGTATATAGGGAACCAATACGTATTTTGAAAAGGTCTTTGATCAAAGGACAAAAATTTCGACCAACACTCACATAAGAAATTTAAAATTTGTGCACTTTTGCACATTATGCAGTTGGGATCTAAATTTGGTGAACTTTTCCAATAAAATAATTGAGGTGTTCGGCTAACTGGATTGGGGACAACCTAGTCCTTCGAGGCTCTGAATAAGGCTAAATCGTCGAAACGTCAGCTGTATAGGTGATATAACAAGAACTTTGTGTTTGGCTCAAGAAGAAAAACAAGGATTTCTCGTGAACTTTCAAATAAAAACTATACTCTGGAGAATTTCGATGTTACAGAGCATTGATTATTATGCCATAGCTTTATATAGAAAAAAAAGCAACAACGGTTGAAAAAGCCTTGAAAGATTGTAGACACAGAAATGTTCAACAACAATGTCCTCCAAAGAACTTCAGTTTAGTACAATTTCCAGATTACCGACTCATCGGAAAATAATACAATGCAAGCCTCCATAGCAAATGGATGCGTGAGCATAATCGAACGGATAGTGGAGAAAGCTAACATGGAGATCCCAGCGATGATAAAAGCGATCGTTTCAAAGCAAAAGGATTCGCTTGCTTGTTACAAACGCAACCATTTGTTCACTAGTATTTCTATCTTAACATGCCCTTACATTCCCATATCTTTGTTATTTCACTCAACCTCTGTGAACAAGATCTCTACGTTCTATGAGGTTGTGAAATCAGTATTAGACTTCTCTGTTGAGAGCTCTCTCTGGCCGACCAGACTAGCATTCAGCGATATTCATGAATATTACCAAGATCCTCAAGAGGCATCCGAACTCATATGCGGAAAGTTTGAAGACCCTTTCAGATTATAGTTGCGAGGAACCGCATCGAACATATGAAGTTCGAGGATCTATACAAGATGTGTGTTGGATCAAGTAAATTTCCAACCAAAAATCAAAAACATGACTTCACTCGTATTTATTTGTCCATTCATATGCAGTTCGCTAAAGGCTCGTGTTCCTGAAGAAAATCATATGTCTCACAAAAGAATAACTATCGAAAGTCGATTATTTGCTCATATTCAATTATTAATTGTTACACGAGACATAAACAGAGTATAGTGGTGAAAATGACCTCGTGTTATTGAAATGATTGGATGACAGACATATTCTAACTAACGTCACTCATCGAAATAAAAAAAAGGAAAAGAAGACCCAGACTTTTCAAAAGAAATCTTCTTGACTTTTAGGCCAGTTTCTCGGATATAGCTAGCTAGCTCATCGGAAAAATTCAACAGAATATCAAGATAAGTAACACCTATCAAATCTTCTCAAATTTTCTCATTTTTATATCTACTAGTACTAAGAATGACTTAATCACAAATGCTTTTCAAAGAAGAAAAAGACTTTGGTCAGGAGGTGAGATCAAAGGTGCCTCCAAGTAAGGATTTATTTCTATACTTATTCGTTATGCTTCTAATCATAAAAAAATTCAGGTGACACATTGAAATCAAAAAATGAAAATTGCACTACCATTCAGTTTTACATAGAAAAATCGCGATGTTCTTAGACTATTAATACATATTCACCTGAACAATAAGCCTGAAATGTTCATTAAACACAGCTGTCGGTGAATGGCTAAGGTGAGGAGCCGATAGATAAGTGAATACGTTATGTCACAACAAATTCGATACCAATGGACTGTCCGAATGTCAGATGGATTGACGGCTTCAAAGCAAGTTGCGAATCAACGACTAGTGAACCGTTTCTAATAAGCTGAATCCTGCTGCTTCATTCTTGTATCAAAAACATCAAAATTATGAACGCCCATTGATTTTCAACAGAGAAAGCCCCAACCACATGGATCGGTGATTAAGCAATGAAAAAGCCTGATTCGAAGGTATGGAATTCCAGGAATGATGCATGCATCATAGGAAAACGTCTAAAAGTAGTTTAGAACTCTTGACCGCTGCTTCCACGTATAGCGCAAGAAGGCGTCAAGTATAAAGTAAATGTTAATAGATGTATTAGCAAATAGCAGGAATAATAAATCACTATATTCAACCAAAATAATCTCAATACATATTAAATCATAGCGTGACTATAAAACAAATGAAAAAAGATCACAAAGTCGAGGGCCAGAGAGAGTTTCGTTTCTCCAAATAAACGAATGTCAGGCTAAAGATGGCCAATTTTCCAATCATTCATTTTGTAATAATTATATCCTCTGAATATGAACAAAAAAGTGGATGTAATTGAAGCATATCCAACCGGCAACTGAATATAATAGCAGCACAATCGATACCCAACTTAGATATATTTGTTTAGGAAAAAAAGTCATTTGAAATAATCAAAAAATTCCTTAAATGGTACTGGATTTTTGGGCCGACATTAGTCAATATTAACAGCCTCAACTGAAGCATAATAAAACTTAACAACCAGAAAGTCCAACCAGTTCTTTTTCAGTCACAAAATAGACCAATTGTGATGAACTAGCGATATAGTGTTGGCCAGAAATTTCCCGAATTTCATTTTTGATGATTAATTTACATGCATTTCAAATCTATGTTTCGACATAACATAGAGCAGCTTCTTTCGGCTATCTTGATATACAACACTTGTACATTGTCTCAGGCGTGGATTTGTTCCGAGAGCGAAAAACGATTGTTGATGCTACACATTTATAGTTGCGTGCCAAAGCAGCACTTGAACTCAAACAATACTCTGCAGCATCAATAAGCGGTTTTGCTTTGATATAATTCCATTCAGAACAATTATATAAGTATATATCAAAAAATCGCAAGAAGCTGCTCTAGACTATTGTAAATACAAAAACGCAAATGCATGAAAAATGATCAGCAAAAACGAAGAAATTTGCAAAATTTCTTGTCAACTCAATACTCTCAAGAGAAGATGATTAGTGGCTTTTGTTAACCAAAAAATTCCCAGTAAAAAGTAGAAGAACAAAAAACAAATGTTCTTGATATTCGACTGATTTTTGAGACATCGCTCAAAACAATATGTAACCAATATCATATTTTAGCCTCACAAAAAAAATTCATTAGGAGCATCCAAATAGAAAACCACACTTTCCCTTGACGCTAGAGCAAATAATCAAAATGTCCTTTCAAACCTTTGACACTCAAGAGCATAGCCGAATCTGTCTCTTCTTCATCCCATGAAGTTGAAGAATAAATCAAACTAGCACTTATAAATAGGTTTGAAGAGCATTATTAGTATCAGAATGAATTTTAGACCTTACTTCGTAGCACAAAAATTATCCATCTACAAAGAGTTGTTAACGATCGTAACAATCTCTACTAAGCAACGAAGACAAATTCGCAAGTCAGGATTTCTCGACTTCAAATTCTTAACAACTATAGAAAAACCTAATATTGTAATGGCACTTTACAAATATTAGACCTTACTTGATCACTAGTATTATATAAAATACAATTAGCCACGCTAAAGTGTAGATTCTATCTTCATTACACAGTGATTCTATCTAAGTGACCAGTATTGTATTTTATTGAGAAGCTCGAACAAGATTATTTGCAATCCTTGACGTTTTACTTTACCCGAGTTGATGTGACGACTACGATGGACACATATTACAAGCAGAAACAAAGAATTTCTGTGGACACTACCTTTGAATCATCGTGTTAATGTGGAAGGTTCATGGCGCCATATAATAGCCACAACAAAGTCTTGTAACGCAAAAACTACGATTACGAAAGAAAAGGATGTAATTGAATATAAAGATGGCGCGGTTTACTTTTACAAAAAGCTATGACTGTCAAGCGAAGACGAACTTGAGAAATTTCTTGGTAAGGGTGTTAACATCTGGAAACTCGTCATATACGGGGCACCATATTTGCTTAGGTGCTTTTCTAGAGCAGATGTTCATAACGTCCATCGAAAAAAGAGAACCTCGAATGTTCAAATTTATAGCTTCGAATACTAATGCGAAATGATACTTTATTAGCGATGTGATCAGTCACCAACATCTTGTCTAGAACTTTCAGTAACACGAAAATCTGTTACTCAAAAGGAAGAGGTAGTGCTCCCTCTAGAATTAAAAGGCCGATCTCTGCGTGTGTAATTCCAAAAGATGATATGTAAATTATTAACTCTTCTTCCCAACAAATTTTTGTGGTAGCTTCTTTGCAAACCTGAAATCTGATAAAATCGCGAAGAACGC